TCAAGCTGGCTGCAAGCAGTCAGAAAGATACTTCAGCGTCGTAGTGTATACAAGTCTCTACAAAAACTAGCAGACACGAAACTTCATATATTGTCCAATATCACACCCTAAAATCGCGTTTCTAGAAATATCTAAGTGATCAAAGCGTCTGAGACCAAAGGCATATCGCGTACTACAGTTTACGAAGCATCGTAACTTGATAAGGGATTCAACAACAAGTTTTAAGTACATTAGAGAGGAGTAAATAATTGATGTATACTTTACAGATAGGTTCAGATCTCTCAAACAGGCAAAAGATTTCCTGATAACTTGGTTAGCATATTCTCCAGCATACAGAGTGATTCTTGTATTCACTAAGTTATTCGCAAAAACGTTGACCATCTTTTGCCATTGTTTGTTGCATTTTTCCAAGTATTTCATCAATATTGTGGATTAGCGTAAAACAACCATCACACATAAAGCATACGAAGGGTCTATCTAAAATGCCTTCCGCGTCGTCCAAGCCACTAAATGCGGTGGACTCGCTTTTGGCATGCCGCTTGACATACTATTGAACTAGCGTTACGATAGGTCTTATTGCATTTTGAACAGTCCATTTTGTCGCGCCGATTTCAAAGTCAATATGTATATGTATTAATCAAAATATATTATATATTAATAAAAGATTTAAATTTTAATTCATAGATTATGCGTCCTTTCGCTTATTTATTTAATTTAATTAGTTAGCAAAAACTTATTATAATTTCTTTATTAGAGTACACAATTACACGTAATGAGTTTCGGTTTGTGTATATTTTTTCCGATATACAACACTTTTTCTTATATATTTATTTGGAGATTTGGGCTTCATAAGCTGTCTCTATCAGCTGATTTAAATGAGTGTGATGAAAGAAAATATAATTTTGCAAATTAAATTTACAAAAATTCCACTATTCTCCACAAAATTGAGCTTAATATAGGGTTTAATATAGCTTTAGGTTTAAAGTCACTGGTTCAATTGATTTTAATAATTTTCTGATCACTTCCCCCGCTTTTTCAATCAAAGACATTAAAAGTCACGGAGCTTAATCCAAATGCATGTTTTTGCGGGCTTTTTTTATTTACGCCAAATAATGGACTGTGATTAACTTATTTGACATAAATAAGCGAAATGAATACTTGTTCCACGAAACGATGAAAATCATAGACATGGAGTGAAAGAATGAATTCAGCATTAACCGAGATAAAGGGTGTCAGATAAACGTAGATAAATGTCAATCAGTAAACCCTCAATATCTCAATAACTTTTTTTTCCAAATAGCTAAGGACATAGAATTTTGAAAAAGATTTTTGAACGTTTTTCCGGAAACCCTCAAATATATGAACATTTTTCTAATTATATATTTTTTTTTTCATTTTTCGTATATCAGCACTTTATTCTGCCAGTATATTTTATTAAAGTATTTTTCGTTCAATCCATTATATCGCGATTTCTAAAGATTATTCTTGAAAGCGGGACTTTCTACCCACTCCTTTTTCAACAACAATACACTATGTTAAGCTATGACGTGCGAGTGCTTATCAATAAATTTGTGTGTTATTATCACAAAAAACGGTAATAATACACAAACGATATGTGATGGAAGGAAAATACAATAAAGAGACTACGTTCCATTATTACATTTTGAAGACAAATTAGCAATGCATTGAATAGACAACAGCCGGAGAGATCCAATCAAGCTTATCAAAGGTGCCACAATTTGTAATTTTTGTTATGAAAAACACACAATAGATTATAAAACGATTACCTTGAAAAGAGAAAAATTCTCAATAAACAAATATTATCTAAAACAGCAAAGGTCACTGCTTCCTTGAGGAAACTAATGGCCCGTTGTGGAAAAACGAAAATTGCTGATGGCAACAGTAAACATTATCCCTTAATATGGTGTCGACGTATAGGCTGACGCACTGGACACCGAAATATGCAGAAAACAAATAAAAGCGGTGCATAGAAGAGCGGCTCTACGTATCACATTAGCATATTGCACTGTCGCGACCGAAACAGTTTTTGTAATACCATGTGTAACTCTAATTAATCTATAGGCAAAGTAGCGCCAAAGAGTATACAATAAAAATATAAACAACTACTATACTCAACAAATGGCAAGAGAAAATCAGGAGCAAACCAACACAATGTGACAAGAATAATGGATCAATAGTACTCAAGGAAGATGAGCAGATAGACTGATACCAAATAAAATCACCTGACTCAAATGGAAATCTGGAGACAAAAATTGCTATTTCACTAACATGCTGACTGCACATGGATATATTTGCAAAAAAGGCAGATCTAATCGACTGCATATATGGCGATACAATAAGTCCAGAAAATATAATGAAAAAGATGAGAGCGAACCTAGACAACTGGCGAACAATAGAGTAATATGTGACTCAAGTCTTTAAATCGAAGAAACCAAACCTAGAAAAGAGCAGAAGAAAACTGGTTAATAAATAGTGCAGACACTAAGAAAATACTCTGAAAAGTGGAGGTCTGGACGCAGATCGCATATCAAAAGAGCATGGCTTAAAATCCCAACATAAAAAGCACCCTCCGCAAAGTTATTGCGAAAGCAATTCCGAGGGAGAACAAGTCTCTCCGAAGAGGGGGTGTGTTGTTCGTATACTATGTATTAATATTAGTCAGTCGGTCACACCATTCCGACGACGGTCGGTTTGACGGTGCATAAAGCATTCCACTTCTTCACCACAAAAGAAATAAAAATTAATTCCTTTAAAAAATTAAGAAAAAAAACGTTGTATAAAAAACTCATTAATATGCATACTATAAGGATTGTACTTACCATCACTCTCCCACTTATAATATTCAGTGGGTATATATAATATATTGGAAAACCTTAAAAAATTAAGTATGTTCACGATTAATCAATACTAATATGAGAACAAAAAATTTCCCGTGGAGTTACACTATACCCAATTGCACTGGTAATTACAGGTCTTATATAGTGCAATAAGTATGTAATACTTTTCTCCCTTTGTTAGTGTTGCTTTTTGCTTATAGGAAAAAAACTTGGCGTGTGAAGTAAACAACATTGACAGTTCATATATTTTTTTTCTGCTGTGTCTAGCGGAATTGTCCGTGTGGAGAGTCCGAATATATTTTAAAATTTAGTTTTATTAATTAAAATATTAAATAAAAATTATGAAAACTATTCCAAATGAGAAGACTAATAAAGCTGGGAGGAGTAAGTTAATGATTACAGAATTATTTATAAATTTAATAAAACAAAAGCAATCTTTTATTCGCACGCCATGACTCACAACAAAAAATATCATAACAACAACTGTAATTTACTCATCAAAATGATTAAGTATGTTTAGGATATAAAGTGAACGATCGCACTCCCTTATCTGACTTTGCTGAGTTGTGAGTTTCAATCACAACTCACATTATATAGAGTGAATGTGTATAAAACTATTATAAAAATGTTTAAATTATAATTAATCTTTGTGTTTAGTGAAACGAAACATATATCTACTTCATTACCGTCATCATCACCAGTTTTAATAAAATACCTGTAATAAACAAAAGTCATGAATGAAATTAATAACATATATAGAAAGGAATATAATACTTAAGGGACTAATCATAATTTTTATACTTCAAAACCAAGATATACACAAAATATCAATGAAAAGTAAAAGAAGCACAATATATTAACTATATATTCTTGTTCAGTCTTAGCGAGAGAGAGAAAGCGAGAAAAAGAAGAAGATTGAGACTGTAAGAAAGAGAGACAGTGAGAGTAAGAGTAGAATAACAAAAAAGTGAGAGAAGGTGAAAAAAAAGACAGTAAAAAAGAGCAAGGGCAACATAAAAATAATTTTTATTAAATCTTTAAAATGAGATTCTTGTAGTATAATATATGGCATAAAATGTTTCTTTTTTAATTATTATTTCTCATTAAATTGTAAAACTGAAGTCCTCTAAAATTTATTTTTTGTTTTAAATTTCTATGTTAAAAAGGATTCTAAAAATCTTATCTCCGGTTACATCCCTTACATTCATGTGAATAATGCATATTGTAACTTAAATGTCGCACACGACAGAATTGTGAAGTACATACATTTTTAAAGTACTTCGTTTCAATGATTCTATATTCTAAACCATTGACTCTATACTTTGAATCATTGGTTCTATACTCTGAACCATTAGTTCTAAGCTCTAAATCATTGGTTCTATACTTGGAACCATAAGTTCTATGCTCTAAACCATTATGTCTTTACTCTAAACCATTAGTTCTATACTCTAAACCACTGGTTCTATACTCTGACCAATTTGTTCTATTTAATTATATGAGTAATTGTAATGTTCAGTTCAATTCAATTACTAATTAAAACTTCGAAGTTCTGATTAGTCTTAGAAGTAGTTTACAACTGATATAAGGAATCGATTAAAGTATCAATACTTCTATCTCTTCGTCAACAAACTAGAAAATTTTTTTTACTCATATTTATTTCGTGTTCATAATTAAAGCACTTTCAATTTATGGTGTATCTGTGGTTTCTCTATAAATCCGCTTATAACATGGCGGTAAGTATTTAAATTCTTATTATCGGAATGTCCCTATGCCTGTCAGTAGTGGAGGTTGCCTTTAACAAGGAGAGATTAGTGTTCGAATGTGAGCTGGGGATGTTAAAAAGTTTCAGCGCCTTGTCATATATGTGTTCTTGATATGGAGATTTATTTCTAAGTCTATCTATCAATCTGCTGTGCTAAGACACACTCCCGATCATTTTGATACATATGAGTAATGCTGAAGGTTAGTTAAAATAAAAACTAGTTTTCATCTTTTTCCTGATTTTACCATATTTATCTATACATACCTTATTTTCATTAATTTCTAATATTTAAATATATTATTTGATTGTGGTTTTTTTTTGTTTTTTCTTTTAAATTTTTAATAACTTTATACTAAAGTAAATATATTTCTATCTACCAGGAACTTCTACACGGAAGCCACGTCTGAACTCAACGCTAGCCGCCCAACAAGCTGCCACATTACCAGGTGCTTCTGGTGCCATGCAAAATGGTAACAAATCTTCCTCTAGTTCCCGTAATGGCACTGGTCATGAGAAAAATAAACACAAAAAGTATACGGCACGTTTAAAAAATGTCGATCGATCGACAGCACAGACACGTGAGGTCACTGTCAACTCGGTGACAGTTTTTATAACAGAATACAAACCGAAGCCGATGAGTAGTCGAAGAGAATCAAGTGAACAAAGCTTCAGTGAAAGTAACGATTCAAGAAGTTAAACAATTAGTAAAGCTTAAGAAAATTAGTTAAAAATTAAATGAAAAATATTATAAACAAAAGTTTTTAGTAACAATTTTTAATATTAGTAACCAAAATAATACATTTACAAAATGTCACTTACAAACATACACAAAACACACACAGAAACATACACACTCACGCATCCTATGACTCAGACATATTTGTTAGTAAAGCTATATAAGTTCTTAATTTATTGTATGTATATACATATATATATATATATATATATATATATAAATATATTGTATATATATATATATATATATGTATAACTAAATTTATGGAGGAACCAATCAACCAACATAGTAATTTAAGATGCATCAATTTTTTATAATTATATTTTATTGAATTTGTTTTTGTATTGTAGAAAACTTCAGTTTTTGATACAAATATATATATTTCCGTTTAAATAAATAAACAAGTATGCATTTTGCAGCTTTACACTGCCTTCAGTTTGTACGTATATCAATAGTCAAATACTTCAATAATAAATTGATTTGTTAATTAAAATTGATCAAATAAATAAAAATTTATATGAACGAAGATATAGTGCTCATTGCTTAGTAGTTAGTTACTCTGGGTTTGCATGAATGGATGATGTGAATAAAAGTTTAGTTTTTGTTAAAACTACTTTTTCTATGCAATAGTTTAAATAAGTAAGTGAAAGCTTCAATTTTTAAGAAAACGCTTCAACTTTTAAGGAAAAGCTTGAAATATTAAACAAAACTATTGTAGTTGTAATAACAATCAATTTTACGAAATACTATGCTTTTATTGACTTAAAGAAATAATTATTGGACTACCGCTATACAGACCTCATAATACTTTGATAACTTTTAAGTATCGAAGTTTATAAAGACATAAGTGAGTTTTTTCTCTCTTAGAACAGGCTATATCTTGGAATAGTAATCTACGAACTCTGTCTAAATATCATAGTATTTAATGCAAACCTATGTGACTAACTAAGCAGTATATATAAAAGTTAAGTAGACGTTTTGATTTTTTTTTTATACAACTTAATTAGATCCTACCAAAAATAGATACTGAGATTTACTTACAAACATTTTACACTTATATAGATGCATTTTTATACCAATTTTTATATTAAATAATATATACAAAACATAATAAAAATGAAATGTGAATTATAATTGTATATCTATAACAATTCTCAAAAATCAGCTAACTATAAAATTCAAGCTGAATTTTTAAAATTTTGAAATTTGTTGAAAATTTTATTGTATAGCTTTAAGTAATAAATAATAATGTTAAATTAAAAACTTTCTTAATGTTAAAAAATACTATTGTTTTTGTATTTACTTATATGTTGAATAAACAATGTGTTATGTATTTTGCTGTGTTGTTAAGTAAGTTGAGTGTGTAAATTCACCACAATTAAAATTCACCACATAATTTCATATAAATTCATTACTTATAATTTTGTATTGTTATAAGTAAAATTGTACATTATATATATATATATGATTTCTTATTAAAATTTTAAATAAATTTAATTGTAAAAATATTCAAAGTTATATATAAATACTGTATATATATATATAATTAATTGTATATATGTTATAATGTATGCAGCTATGGGCAGAGCTTTGTAGCTACAATAACTTACATATGCATGTTACTTATATTAATTTTAATTTGTATATAATTTAAAGAAAAATTGAAAGTAATCCTATGAATTGAGGTTTTAAAATAATTTATTTAAATATAATTAAAAATATAATTTAAAATATTTTTAATAACTATAATTATATATATAATTTTATGTAGTATACTGTGTAAATCTATGTAAATTTGTTGATCAACTTCAAATGTTATATTTGACGTAAATATAATTTAATTTTGATAAAATTATTTATATAAAGTTAAACTTTAAATATTGTATATTAAAATATTTGAATTTTATATTAAAATTATTTTCTTTTTTGTTTTTGTTTTTTGTTTTGTTTGTTTGAATTTATATATTTAGTTGACAACTATACATAGATATACATTTTACACTATTGCTTTAGTTTTAAAGCGTCAATTATGTGTCAAATTTTTTAATTGATTTTATTTAATTTATATATATTTATATAAAAATAATTTAAAACCACAGCTTCTAAAGTTTAGATATTTAAGTTATCATTTTTTTTTCTCTGTTTTTAACCTAAAATACACTTATTCTCTGCAAATTACGAAACGACATCACTAAGTCAAATATGATTTAGAGTTTTCTAAATAAGATTAAACATACTGCACTAGATTTGTAAAACGTAACTATAATTGAAGTGAGATTAAGTTGAAATATATTTGTTTGTTACTAAAAAGGCAGTGTTAATAATGTTGATAATTGTCTATCAATATATAAAACATAATATGTATATATCTGAAAACTAAGCTGAATAATATTTAATAGAATTGTATATACTAGTTCTTCAAATATTAATTCAGCTGTTCGAATTTTTGATTTTATTATTATTCGAATATTACTAAGCATACTCTTAAGCATTTGGTTAAAACACAGCCAGCCACACGAAATGTTCGAACACCATTTAGTGCACAAAATCTTCGAATACCATATAGTGCTCGAGGTATGCGAACACCATATAGTGCCCAAAATATTCGAACACTATGAAATTTGAACATTTGCTATTATATGTATGTCATCTTAAAAATGAAAACAAAATAAAAATAAAACATAAGCAGATTTTCGAAAATTTTTGACCAGCTTAAGGATTTTTCGAACCTTTGAAGTATTCAATCGAAATTTCGGTTTGAGTTTAGTCGAATTTCTAAAACACTAATATCTATGAAAATATTTAGAGATTGAGTATTTGTTAATAACAAATATACAATGTTATAATTTCAACATTATATAAAATAGGATTAAAATTGGCTATTAGTAATAAATTTAAATTAGTAATTTAACTTCATTATAATTTGTAAATATAATGTTAATTTAAATATTTAAAATGTTTTTATTTGAAATATTGTATGTTAAACTAAAATAGCTATGAAAAAATTTAACCTAAAAGATATAAATAATTCCAGTGACTCTGTTCCTTATAAGAAAGTCTCGTTAGTTTTAATTAACTTTAAATTTTTTAAATAAATTCAAATTTAATTTAACAAAAATTTAAATTAAACTAATTGAACAATTTTAAAGTTAATAAATTTAAATTATTTAAAAATCAATTAATATAAAATATTTTAAATTGTATTGATGTAAACCATTTTAAATTTAAATCATTTCAACTAAATTTTTTTAAAAAGTTTTTATATAATTATTTTGTATAATTTTAAATTTAATTGATTTTAATAAATTTAAAATTGATAATTATTTAAAATAATTTTAAATTTAATTAATATAAATATTTTTTAATTTAAATAATTTTAGTTAAATCATTTTAAATCTAATTAATTAAAAATAAATTAATTAATATAAATATTTTTTAATTTAAACCATTTTAATTAAACATAATTAAATAATCTTATATTTAATTAATTCAAAAAATTTAAAGTTAAATGCATTCAAGTGACTGAAACTATTTATAATGATTTTAAATTAAATCATTTTAAATTTAATAAAATAGTCTTTCATTAAATTAAAAAAACTTGAATTATTTTAAATTGTAATAATATAAATCATTTTAAATTTAATTTAGTTAAATTTTTTTTTGAATTAAATTTATTTTAATCATTTCAAAGTCAATTTATTTAAAACATTTAAATTTAAACAATAAAAAATTCTAAATTGATTTGGATGTCAAAATTTTAAATGTCATTAAATTAAATCAAATTAAATTAAAACGTTCTTATTAAATTAAATTAAATTTTTTTAAATTAAATTAAAACGTTTTAGTTAAATTAAATCATTTTAATTAAATGAAACCATTTTAATCAAAATAAATCATCTAAATTAATTTTAGTAATTTTATTTAATTAAATCATTTTGAATTAAATTAATTTAAATACATTTAATTTTAATTAAACCTGGACTTTGTTTTCAATAAAGAAGTAATGAAAAACATACTATATCGTTATAAACATATAGTCTTAAAAAGCAATAAAAAACCTACAATATTTTAAATAAATTTGAATTAAATATAGAAATTCATTCAAATTAATATGTTTAAAGATATTTGAATATGTATTGAGTTTTATTATTAGAAATAAAATTTATATAGAATATAAATAAATTAAATAATGAAACTCAACACACAAAAACTATAATATGTATGCAAAGTGAAGTACTGATTTTAAAAATGTATATAATATGTATATGAACATAATAATGATTTTCAAGCTTATTTATAAATATATTATGAAATATTTTCAATATATTATATTATAACTCTAATGTAATTATACTTAGCTAAGAGTTTTAACAATGTACTTGTTACTTACGCTAAAGGAAAATCATTTAAGTTGGATAAAATTAGCTTGATTAACTACCTGAATTAAAGCACAGCATATAAGTTTCCATCTCTATAATCCAAAATATTCCAATCATATAGATTACTTTTGGAAACATATTTAATTGACAAATCAAATTTCTTTTAAACTTATTCAGTGTAAAATATATTATGTATACATATACGTAGGCAGTAGATCAAAGATGCTATTACATATATATGAAACTTATCTTATCTAGTAGTTACGTTTTACGATATTCAAGGAACCACAATAGTTAAATGCCTTTAAATAAAATAAATAATAAAATCAATAAACGCAAATATTTTGCACGTAAAATAGTAAAAAATAAAAAAATCAAAACAAAAAAAAAAAGAAACAATTTGAAATAGAATATTTTTAAAATAAAGACTGATTATAATTATGATTGTAATTGCATATATAAATTAATGCGTTTATTTGCGTTTATAATAAAATTTTGTTTTCTCTTTCATCAAACTGATTGAATATTAAAAATAAATGGAATTTATAATTGACCAACCTGTATTATTATTAGTATTAAAGTTTTAAAAATTCAAAAAGATATTTTATTAATTTCTCATTTTAAAAAATTCTACTAAATTAAATTTTAAATTTAATTAAATTAATTTTAGAAAACTTCCAAAACTAAAATTGTAAATGTTTTACATTTGGCATAGCATTATTTATACATAATTAAATTATTGCAATAATTGTTTTTTATTATATGTTTTTTTTTTTATTGTTATTTCTATTGTAATATCAAGAATTAAGCATTTTCGTATTGTTTAATTTATTTATGTTCATAAAAGTAAACACAACGAATGTAGTATTTTGAAATTATAAAAAGGTTTAGTGTTGAAATTAAATAAATATTTATAACAAAAATGGTAGTAA